AGAAGAGGGAGTTGAGGCCTGGCAGAATACCAGTGTTAACAGCTTGGCACAGGGCAAAGGAGCAGGAAGTGTCATAAGCCTGGAGGTTAGCAGAGAACAGAATGAACACATCAGGTCCATGCCTGTGAATCCCGCAATTTGACTCCCTGCGTTTCAAGTGCCTTATCTGTGATGCTGCTGTTATAGGAATTCTAAGGTCTCATATATATAAATCATATGTTCATGAATCTACAAGGCAAATACATATATAAGTATATAAACCATGTGTCTGAAATAGTAAAGGTAAAGGGACCCCTGACCATTAGGTCCAGTCGTGGCCGACTCTGGGGTTGCGGCGCTCTTCTCGCTTTATTGGCGGAGGGAGCCAGCGTACAGCTTCCGGGTCATGTGGCCAGCATGACTAAGCGGCTCCTGGCAAACCAGAGCAGCGCACGGAAACGCCGTTAACCTTCCCGCCGGAGCGGTACCTATTTATCTACTTGCACTTTGACGTGCTTTTGAACTGCTAGGTTGGCAGGAGCAGGGACCGAGCAACAGGAGCTCACCCGGTTGCGGGGATTCGAACTGCCGACCTGTCTGAAATAGTACAGGAGAGCAACCCTGAAGCCGTTTTGACTCTCCCAAATTGACCTCAAATATTTCTCTGCAAGGAGAGGGGAAATGGGAAAGCCTGCTCATGGTCTTTTGCTTACAAATCCTGTGCTATGTCTATAGCTGACATTTTTCTGTCTTTTTTTTTTTTTTTGCAGTTACTTTATAATGTTGCGGGTTGTGTTAATAAAGCTTTTAAAGGCAATTTCAACGGCCTCAGTCTTCTCTGGCATTTCAGTTTAATTACCTGTGATTCATGCCGCGAGCTGAGGAGTGTATCACTGTCAAATCCTCAACAGTGTAGGGATTGGGATACATTGACCTTAGCAGCCTTTCAGATGTTTTGGACTAAAAACCTTATTGGTCAAAGCCAGCAGAGCCAAGTTCAGGGGCCGTCTCCTCACTCCCCAGAACACTATTGATGATGGACCGGGTCAGAAGTGGCAATGACGTGCCCAAGGTGGTGTAGTGGTTAGAGCGTTGGATTAGGACCTGGGAGACCAGGGTTCAGTTCCCCACTCGGTCATATTACAGGGGTCAGCAAACTTTTTCAGCAGGGGGCCGGTCCACTGTCCCTCAGACCTTGTGGGGGGCCGGACTATATTTTGAAGGAAAAAAATGAACGAATTCCTATGCCCCACAAATAACCCAGAGATGCATTTTAAATAAAAGGACACATTCTACTTATTTAAGAACATGCTGACTCCTGGGCCGGATTGAGAAGGTGATTGGGCTGGATCCGGCCCCCGGGCCTTAGTTTGCCTACCCCTGGTCATGAAGCTCACTGAGTGACCTTGGAGTCAGTCACTCACTTTCAGTCTCACCTACCTCACAGGGTTGTTGTAAGGATGAAATGGTGAGGAGAACTATTCCCTCCCCTCCACCGTGATTGAGCTCCTTGGAGGAAAGGTGGGATGCAAATGTAATTACCATATTTTTTGCCCTATAGGACGCACTTTCCCCCCTCCAAATATGAAGGGCCCCTCTCACTCTCCAGGCTTCAGGAAGCTATCCGCAAGCCTTGGGAGCCCGGCATGATTTTCTGCCGGGCTCCCAAGGCTTGCGGATAGCAGCCTGCAGCCCGAAACCCAGGGAGTGCAGCGGGGTGCACCCCGGGCTTCGGGCAGCTCTCCGCAAGCCTTGGGAGCCCGGCGCAACTTCCCGCCGGGCTCCCAAGGCTTGCGGATAGCAGTCTGTTCTGGGGGCTGGGGTCGGGGGAAGCTCGGGCTTCCCCCGCCCCAGCCCCGCGCCTGGAGGGGAAATAAAAAAAAATTCTCCCCCCCCCAAAAAAAAAACCTAGGTGCGCCCTATGGGCTGGTGCGCCCTATAGGGCGAAAAATACAGTAATAATTGTTGCTGTTTACCTGCCTGGGATCTGCCTCTTTAGGGAAGCTGACATTTCTAGCTTTCATTTATCATCGGAAAATGGAAGAATTTGCATCCTTGTTTAGGAACCAACGGTTGCTGGTAAAAGAGACCTCTTCACATCAGGAAACATTACTTTCAGGAAACAACTGGAGACCTTTTCGTTCCGACAAGATTTTCCAGCAGGATGAAAAGGTCTCTGCCTTAGGTACTCCTTTTTTTGCATTGTTTTTTAATGTATATCTTCAGCTGGATTTCTGTACAGCTTTCAAAACTGTTTTTAGCATTTTTCATGGGATGTTTGAAAACTGCCTCAAGGCAAAGGTAAGGAATTAAGGAATTAATCAAAACAGAGTTATTATTTGTTGGGATTGAATCTGTACCCTGCCCTTCGTCCTCAAGGAGCTCAGGGTGGAAAACAGGTAATGTGGAGATAAAAATGAAGCAAAAAACATTCTAAAACAGATTCAAACATTACAAAAAACAATTATAACTAAAGACATTTTTCTAGCCAATGATCTCAGGGTTGCCAGGAACAGTATTCTTCAGCCACCAAATGCCTGGGTGAACAGGATTGTTTTCAATGATGGAGAGAGGCGTGCCTCACATGGGGAGGCCATTCTGCAACTGGGGAGTCACCACTGAAAAGGCCCTGCCGTGGGTCAACACCAACAAGGCAGCCCCCAGTGGCGATATTACCACCAAGGTCTCACCCGATGCTTGTAATAACAATGCTTTCTGCGAAAGCCCAGTCACCCAGCTGCTTCTCCTATCTTCTTGCTCAAAGATAACATAGTTCTGTTCCTGATCTCCCCAGTGCTCAGAATACATGTACTTCTAATGCCTCATGTGATGTCTTGAGGAAACCTAGCGCAAGGGAGACCTGAAATAGCCAGCCAAAAGAATTAGGACAAATTGCCTGGGCACAACTGCCCTAAGATTAACTAGCACCTGCCTCCTTTCCGTTGTTTACTGTCTGTTCTCTGCAGAACTGCTTTTGAAAGATGCCACTCTGGATGAGAATGTGAGTTTGGGGATGTATGCGCCCTTCTGCGGTTGGCAGCGATCGTTTGTCAGCGTTCATTTTGCATCGGGCTGTTGCTAAACCCCGCAAGCGGTAAATCATGGCTTTTGCACCCACCGCTGATGTTCTCGCTGCAAAAGTCTGATATTCAAATTAATGAGTATATGAAGACCAAAGGAGCCATCACGTGAATCAAGCTTACAAATGGAAATTTCCATCAGTTCCAGCCACCTCTGCTCAATTTTAAAGTGTCGTCGCTGGAGGCCACTTCATTTGTGACTCCCCACCCCCCTTAACTGGCATTTCTCTGCTTTAGAAACCAATGCATGCACCAGCCAAACAGAACATGAGATGGTCTGTTTTGCCACCTGTGCATAAGCCTGAACATCAGTCGGTAGCACCTGAGTCTCTTAATCTCAGGGTCATGGGTCGAGCCCCATGTTGGGTGGAAGATTCCTGCGTTGCAGGGCTGCTGGACAAGATGGTCCCAACTCTATAAATCTATGATGGCATATTAAATTCCCACCAATATAAAGGTAAAAAGGTAATGGACCACTGGACAGTTAAGTCCAGGCAAAGGCAACTATGGGGTTGCAGTGCTCATCTTGCTTTTAGGCCAAGGGAGCTGGCGTTTGTCCACAGACAGCTTTCCGGGTCATGTGGCCAGCATGACTAAACCGCTTCTGGCACAATGGGACACCGTGACAGAAACCAGAGCACATGGAAATGCCATTTGCCTTCCCACCACAGCGGTCCCTATTTATCTACTTGCACTGGCATGCTTTCGAACTGCTAGGCTAGCAGGAGCTGGGACAGAGCAACGGGAGCTCACTCTGTTGCAGAGATTTGAACCTCTGACCTTCTGATTGGCAAGGCCAAGTGGCTTAGTGGTTTAGACCACAGTGTCACCCTGTCACCCTATTATAAGTGCTTGAAAACATAAAAGGAGCCAGTGGCCCATCTAGTCCAGAATGCTGCTATCGTTTGAGGACATCTCAGACATTAGGTTGCATCCAGGTAAGTTCTAGTGAGACTAGACCTCCTGAAATCAATGGGCCTAAGTTAGTCATGCCTTTTAGTCTCAGTGGATCAGTATGACAAACACTCAATACAACTCAATGGGCTGCATCTAACTAAATAGAGCCACTATAGAATCATAGAACTGTAGGGTCAGAAGGGACCCTGAGGATCATCTGGTCCAACTCCCTACAATGCAGGAATAGGCAGGTGTCCCATATGAGGATCGAACCTGCAACCTTGGAGCCATGAGCACCACGCTCTAACCAACTGAGCTATCCACTAGAGCAAGGACTTTTGGCTGTGCAAGGGAACTCCCCCCCCTCCTCTCCCTGTGTTCCCCCTAAATGGGAGGGCCATGGCTCAGTGTGCGGGTGTGTGTGTGTGTGGTGTGTCCATCAACCAACTGCAGAGAATCTTCTTTGCATGAAGAAAGTCACAACATCTCCAGGTAGGACTGAGAGAGACCCCCTGCCTGAAACCCTGGAGAGCCACTGCCACTCAGGGAGGACAGTTCTGAGCTGGATGAACCAATGATCTGACTTAGTATAGTGAAGGGCTGTAGCTCAGAGGTAGAGCATCTGCCTTGCATGCAAGGAGGTCACAGGTTCAATCCTTGGAATCTCCAGGTACGATTAGAAGAGACAAGTGGCCTGTGTTGTTTTCAGGCAGCTTCCTACACTGCTAATTCTGTTCTGGAGGTTTCCTCAACCCTCCAAAGCAGATTTGAGGTGCAAGAGAAGGCAGGGCAGCTCTGTTGCTCAAGCAGAAATCCTTGTGCTGGCAGATCTATTTAGACGGATAGCGCCCAATATCTCTGATAATAAGAGGGTGAAAAGTCAGGTTCAAAACCTGTGGCTAGTACAAGGGTGATAAAGCACACCAGCTACTTCTGGGAATGAGCTCAGAAACCAAGAGTAGAGTGCAGGGATTCCTGCGTTTGCAGCTACAGATCAACAATTTCGCTAGACGCTGACCTACGGTATCGCGCCATCCTTCCTACCTTGTGTGTGCAAGGTCTTTATGGAGGGTCCTCAGGTCCTTTTCTAAGTTTCTAAAAGGCAGGAGCTTCTTCTCAGGTTCCTGCAGACATGGAACGTAATGTTAGAAGAACCTTTGATGGATCAGGCCAGAGGAGCACCTAGCCCACTGTTCCATTCTCATGGGTACCCAACCAGAGGCCTTTGGGAAACCCGTAATCTCTGAGATCCCTATTGGCAACTGTCAGGGAACTGCCATCGGAGCTAGAGGCGGAGGGAAGGCTCCAGAGTGATGTTGGAGAGGGTCCCAGCAGGGAGAGAGGCAGCCCATCTGCTGGGGAAGGAAATCAGCGTAACACCAGTGGAGAAGGGGGGCAGATGGGGGAATCGGAGAGGAGGCTCCAGGACTCTTCACCGGAGACCACACCTTCCCTGCACAGAAGACTTCTGCGCAGGGAGAGTAGGAGGAGACTTGGCGTCAAACAGCTTTTATGCTGGAAAAGGTTTAAGAAACGCCCACTGACGGATTCTGTCAGCGACTGAGACAATCACGATGCTGGAGGCTGTTCAGTCAGAAAGGGTTAACCAGGTAACCTAGCCAGGAGTGGCGGCAACTTATGCACGAGCAATCCCTAAACCCATTACAGCAACCCATCATGGCTCCCTGGCAACTGTGGCTGTGCGATACACTTGGTGGCATTAAGTCTAAACCTCAAATCATAGGCAAGTTGAGAGACTGCCTTATCCTTTATACCCCCAGGTGTCAGGGACTGGGCAGAGGAGGAATGGTGGAGACCGCCTCCCCATCCTGACCCTTCCAGTGAAGAAGAAGACAGTTCAGAATCACAACAGGGGTTTGAGGGAGATCACAGCTCAGAGGCAGATGAGGGAAAAAGCTGGGAAAGAATGGGAGAGGAGGAAGAAGAAGCACCAGAGAGGGGACAGCTGATGGACTCAATGTCTTTAGAAAGCATTCCATACCCCACCTCTCCCAGAACCTGGTGAGCATTGAAAGTAGGAGAGCAAAGAGCTCAAAGACAGAGGGCACTTCTCAGCACTTGATGACACATGAGAGAGGGAGGGGGCGGAGACTCACTCTGGGCAACGCCATTATTACAAAAGGCTGCATTCCCAAGCCTCTCTCTGTGAATACTGAATAAAAAGCAGTTGGTAAGAATTTTTCCTTCTTATCCGTTCCTGGCAACCTGCCGTGGGGGTTGGTTCCTCTGCCACCTGACACCAGGAGATCTCTTGCAAGTTCAAAGATCACAGAAGCTTGCTCTGCAATAACTTGGGAGCAGGGCTTTCAGTGTGGCTGCCCTTGTTTTGTGGTACAGCACCCTTGTCGAGATATGACAGGCACACCCTAGCTACACCTTCCAGAAAGGAGCAAAGGCATTTCTGCTCCATTTCCCAGCTGGATAAACAGGACTTTAGCACAAATGTCCGCTCGCTGGAGTTTTCATCTTGCTTCAAATGCATTGCTGGTTTTTGTGTTTCTAATGATCTTATATGTAAATCGCCTTAACGCAGTGGCTTAGAAGGCAAGTAATAAATCAGTACTGACAGTCATGTGAATGTGAAAAACGAAGTGTGTGTGTGTGTGTGTGGCACGAACACACACTTGTGGGTATGTACACTGTCCTGTCTGAGTGTGCATCCCACGATAAATTATATCCAAGCTGTGCACCAGTGAAATCTGCCCTGAGCCAAAACGCTCACCATTCCCCTGCTAATATTTGGTATTTCCCTAGGTGGGGCCGCTTCTCCATTTTGCAACCGATATATTGATTTATTGGGATGTGGGTGGCGCTGTGGGTTAAACCACAGAGCCTAGGACTTGCCGATCAGAAGGTTGGCAGTTTGAATCCCCGCAACGGGGTGAGCTCCAGTTGTACGGTCCCTGCTCCTGCCAACCTAGCAGTTTGAAAGCACGTCAAAGTGCAAGTAGATAAATAGGTACTGTTCTGGCGGGAAGGTAAACGGCGTATCTGTGCGCTGCTCTGGTTCGCCAGAAGCGGCTTAGTCATGCTGGCCACATGACCCAGAAGCTGTACGCCGGCTCCCTCGGCCAATAAAGCGAGATGAACGCCGCAACCCCAGAGTCGGTCATGACTGGACCTAATGGTCAAGGGTCCCTTTACCTTTATATTGATTTATTATGCATTTATATCTATCCACTTTTTTCCTGCAAGGAGCTCAAAGTGGCATGCATGGTTCTCCTCCACCCTATTTTAAACTCAGAACAACCCTGTCCAGTAGGTGAGGCTGAGAGAGGCAGGCCCTGGCCCATGGTCACCCGGTGAGCTTAATGGCCAAGTGGGGATTTGAACCCAGCACTCTGACCAGTACACCACGTTGGCTCTCAAGACAGAGATACAGATCATATTACATTTACCTTTGGTTTCGGCTTCTTAGCACTGACTGGTTCCACTGGTTCTGCCACTTCTTCGGGGCCAACATCCTCTCTGAAGAATCCCTGCAAGAAGAGGCAAAACACTGTCATCATTATGGAGCATTTCTGCTAACAACCTGAGGCATTCTGGGAGGGAAAAAAGCTTCCAGGACCGACGGTGCTAAAACGATACCTACAAATACGAGAGATAAATGAGCACAATGAAGATTCAAAGATAGCTGATGTTTAGCGAATGTACCAGCCTCGACCCTGCCACCTGACACACCCTCCAGATATTTTGGCCTGTAACTCCCATCAGCCCCAGTAATGGGAGTCTAAAACATCTGGAGGGCACTGGGTTGAAAGGATGGAGTAGAGTAGACAAAGGCGGCTGTTTTGGGGAGCCAGCCAGGCACAGTGACGAGCACTAGGTGGAGCCTGGAGCTGCCTAATTGATCTCTGAAAGCGGAGCCGCAAAAAGCATTACAGGAGGCTATCAAAACGAATCTGGGCAGTGAGTATCACAGAGCGGTTGTTAGCCATACGGCGGGCTTAATAGGGCAGCAGCAAACCAACGACCAGCCTGGTAGAAATGAACCCCTTGTCCTCCTATAAATAAAGGCAATCAGTTCTCTTGAAACACTTTTCGGGCTTGGCAGCCTGCAGCTCATCTTCCTGGATTGCGCTTGAAAAATGGAATCCCAGGGCAGGGATTCGTTTTTATGCTACCACTAAACAGACACACACACACACACACACACACACACACAGCTATCACTTAGGTACAGCCCTTTAGGTATTGCCTTGAACAAGTAAAAGAGGTTTTTGTTGTTGTTTTGCATTCAGATGCCAGAACACTCTGTTAAGATTGCAAGGAATGAAACCGAGTATATCAAGAGAATTGTGACAGGGGCAAACTGTAGGCCCTCCAGTTCTTTAACCATGTCATTAACATAAAAATTAAACAGGAAAGGCGCCAAAATGCATCCCTGTTTGACTCCAGTAATGGTCTTAATTCTAGTGGTGAGATGGCCAGCCAGATCCACCTTTACTTGTATCGATGTGTCAGTATATAGTGTTTTGATGAGAAATAATAGGCGGAGGTCTATATTTGTCTTTTCCAATTTTTGCCACAATGTGTGTCTTGGGACCGTATCAAAAGCTGACTTTAGATCGATAAAAGCGACATATAATTTTTGCTTCAAATTACGGATGTATTTACATAGCAGAAAGCTCATCACAAAGCACTGGTCCAATGTGGATTTTCCTCCTTGGAAACCTGCCTGGACTTCAGATATTACCTTATTTGTATCTGCCCATTCTTCCAGTCTCCCAAGAAGGAGCCTGGCATATAGTTTAGAGGCTACATCTAACAAACTAATGGGTCTATAATTGGCAGGGTTTTTCTTATCACCCTTTTTATATATTGGGGCAATTCTACTCAGCTTCCACCCTTCCGGTATGCAACCTGAGCTGTGAATGTATGAAAACAGTTTTGCAAAAATGGGTGACCAGAAATCAGGTCTTATCTTAGAAATCTCCATTGGGATCATGCTGAGCATATCTGGTGCTTGTTTTTTTGTTTTTGTTTTAAATGAACTGAAGCATGTTGTTTTCCTCAAATACAAAATCTGGACATTAAGGACACTAGTTAAATGTTCGTATATCTAAGCGCTGGAAGGCTCACAAAGACACAGGTTTGTGGAACGGGAAAAATATTCCAGGAACAATCCCTCTCCAAGGGATGGGCCATAGCCCAGGAAAAGGATCTTAGCTCGGCGGTTAAAGGTAAAGGTAAAAGGACCCCTGACCATTAGGTCCAGCCGTGGCCGACTCTGGGGTTGCGGCGCTCATCTCGCTTTATTGGCCGAGGGAGCCGGCGTACAGCTTCTGGGTCATGTGGCCGGCATGACTAAGCCACTTCTGGCGAACCAGAGCAGCACACAGAAACGCCATTTACCTTCCCGCCAGAGCGGTACCTATTTATCTACTTGCACTTTGACGTGCTTTCAAACTGCTATGTTGGCAGGAGCAGGGACCAAGCAACGGGAGCTCACCCGTTGCAGGGATTCGAACCGCTGGCCTTCTGATCGGCAAGTCCTAGGCTCTGTGGTTTAACCCACAGCGCCACCCGCGTCCCTAGCTCGGCGGTTAGAGCATCCAAATTGCATGTAGAAGCTCCCAAGTTCAATCCCTGGTTTCTCCAGGCAGACCTGGGAGAGACTCCCTGTCTGGAAAGCTGCTGCCAGTCAGTGCAGGCAATACTGAGATGGACAAACACACTGTGATCAACTATCTGCAACCAACCAGGACTTCTGGGCTTTTGCACCAGCTGCAAAAAAAAAAAGAAAGAAAAAAAAGAAGCACAGTGGTACCTTGGTTTTCAAACGTCTCTGTTGATGAACGTTTCAGTTTTTGAATGCTGTAAACCCGGAAGTAAATGCTTTGGTTTTCGAACTCGCCTCAGAAGTCGAACATGCCACACGGCTTCTGTATTGAGTTTTCTGTACTGAGTTTTCAGTTTTCGAACATTTCGGAACTTGAATGGTCTTCTGGAATGGATTAGGTTCAGAAACCGAGGGACCACTGTACCTGTTTACATGAGGCTGACACAAAAGCTTGGGCCTGGGATGGTTCAGTCGGTAGATCATGAGACTCACTATCTAAGGGTTGTGGGTCCCAGATTCCTGCACTGCAGGGGGTTGGACTAGGTGATCCCTGGGGTCCTTTCCAACCCTATAATCCTATGGTTCTATGATATACTGTGTAAAAGAATGACATTTTACTGCCTCCACTCCTCTCTCTTCCCACTTTGATTGCCTCCCCTAAAAAAAGCTCAACAACTGCTTCTGAGGATTTACTGCTTCGCTATCTATCTATCTATCTATCTATAATTTATTGATAATAATTCTAACATTTCAAACCTTGACTTCCTTCCTCCTTTTTCTGCAGTTCCTTAAATTTATTTTCATCATTCCCTGCATATTCTGAATGATCTTGACTTATTCTTTTATGTATCTGTTCTCATATATGTCTTTTGTAGTTGCAAATTATAATAATCCTGCCAATGTCTTAATCTATTTACAGTTTGTTTGTAAATATTAAATAAACCATTTCCATTCCTTTATAAAAAGTCGGTTGTCTTGATTTCTTACTCTTCTGGTAAATTTCGCCATTTCTGCATAAGCCATTAGTTTCTGTAGCCATTCTTCTCCCGTCGAGACTTCTTCTACAGTATATTGTGTTTCTCTACAGTTTATGGCAATTTTATGCAATCACATTTATGGTATTTTTTAATATATTAATGTTTTGTAAGTCTCCCAGTAAATTTATTTTGAAAGTAAAACAACAACAACCACATAGTAGAAACCGTGTCAATTATTTATCTACTTATTAGTTCAATTTATATCCAGCCCTTTATCAGTTTCATCGATCCCAGGGCGGCCGACGCCGTAATACCCTATTAAACAGGATGGTAACATATTGAATAATTAATCCCTCCACTAAAATATAACCAAATAATTAAATAGGTATTAAGCTGTCATGAAATTAAATAACTACTGGTGGGCTCACTGTGCTTCTGGCGGGCCTGTTGGGAGTAGCTTTTAGAATGCCAGATATTGCTGGACTACAACTCCCATCATCCTTTGCTCAGGTTGGCTGTTGGGAACTGGAGTCCAACAGGTTAACCATCCCAAAGTTAGGGGGAAAGGGAAATTTTGGATTTACAATTCCATTGTGCGCAACTCTGCCTCTTTCGTTTATTTCAATGTTCATCCTTCCGCATCTTGAGGATTCAGACCAGGTATGAGTGAAACAAGGGCTGCCTTGAATGGATCCAAACCATAGATCCATCTAGTTTTATAGGTTTCTGTCACTGTTTTGAACGTGAGAAAGGAAGCTAACAAATTGAGGAACGGCCATAATTCCAGGGCAGGGATGCCAGTTTGCTCCTGTAATTGAGGAGGCCGGCACCGTGTGACGTGCTCAAATCACAAGCGCATGCAGTGCAACTTGCGCATGTAACACGCAAGTCCTCCTTGGCCCCCCTTAGCTGGAGCCCTTTTTGCATTGTTTTTCAGTGTATATCTTCAGCTGGATTTTTGTACAGCTTTCAAAACTCTTTTTAGCATTTTTCATGGTGCGTTTGCAAACTGCCTCAAGGCATAGGTAAAAGGTAAGGAATTAATCAAAACAGAATGATTGAATTGAATCTGCACCCTGCCCTTTGTCCTCAAGGAGGTCAGGATGGCAAACAGGTAACCTGAAGGTAAAAATGAAGCAAATAATATATAATAATAATAATAATAATTTATTATTTATACCCCGGCCATCTGGCTGGGTTTCCCCAGCCACTCTGGGCGGCTGCCAACAAAATATTAAAAATACATTAAAACATCAGTCATTAAAAACTTCCCTAAACAGGGCTAACTTCAGATGTCTTCTAAAAATCAGATAGTTGTTTATTTCCTTGACATCTGATGGGGGGCGTTCCACAGAGTGGGCGCCACTACCGAGAAGGCCCTCTGCCTGGTTCCCTATAACCTCACTTCTCGAAGGGAACCATTAGAAGGCCCTCGGAGCTGGACCTCATTGTTTGGGCTGAACGAGGGGTGTGGAGACACTCCTTCAGGTATATAGGACCGTTTAGAGCTTTAAAGGTCAGCACCAACACTTTGAATTGTGCTCAGAAACATACTGGGAGCCAATGTAGGTTTTCAGGACCAGTGTTATATGGTCTTGGCAGCCACTCCCAGTCACCAGTCTAGCTGCTGCATTCTGGATTAGTTGCAGTTTCTGGGTCACCTTCAAAGGTAGCCGCACATAGGGTGCATTGAAGTAGTGAAAGCGGGAGATAACCAGAGCATGCACCACCCAGGCGAGACAGTCTGCAGGCAGGTAGGGCCTCTGCCTGCGTACCAGATCGAGCTGGTAGACAGCTGTCCTGGACACAGGATAGACAGCTGTGAGTCCAAAATGACTCCCAGCCTGCACACCTGTTCCTTCAGGGGCACAGTTACCCCATTCAGGATCTGGAAATCCTCCAACCCCGCCTGTCCCCCAAAAACAGTACTTCTGTCTTA